TGAGATCCAGCAGTCATCTTATCTGAAGGGATTTAATCATGCTGGTATTGATGTGGAGTATGCTCACTGTACCCCTTTCAGCAAAGTCCACACTTCTACAAATGCTCCACCGTGTTTAAAATTATGGCATAAATAATTACAGGTTTCATCTCATGGACATAATTAATGATAAATTTCTGGTGTAAATTAGACTTTCATACCTGACATGGTTTTGGCTGGGAAAAAAAAAAAGATTAGAGGGGATCTTCAAAGAAGATAGAACACTGAAATCAGTAGACTTTGAAATCAGAGCAATATAAAAAAAAAGGCTATGCTTACTGCATTAAAAGTAGCTAGGAAGACAGTTGTACTCCAGTTAATTTCATTGGTTTGTTATCTTCACATTTGGCACAAATAAAAAGAAATCCATCCAGCCACTGATCAAGTTAAATTACTTTCATTTTTCTGTGATCCTTTCTAATATTTGTCTACCTGTATATATAATGGATTGATAACTTTCACCCCAGATCTTGTCTAGGTTCACAAGATTTCGATGCCTATGAAATGAAGTTGAATTCAGGTCAGCAAGCATGCATGGAGCAGGTACTGTATGAATCTCAGCAAAGGGGAAGGCTCCCAGGCAAGCTGCTAACAAACCCTGAACACTGTGTTATCTCTCACACGGGTGCACTGGAGACCAAAGCAAGACAGAGTGCAGCAAAGACCAGCAGCTCTGGGAGGCAGGTGCCACAGGATCTGATTATCCATCACTAACCAGCTCTGACCTTAGCAAGTTTGCCTCGGGGGGCCCTCAGTGCCTCATCTGCAAAATTAAAGGATTAGGCTTGATCAATAGTTCTTAAAACTCTGCTGCTAGAAGACACAGGAGCAGGAGTCATGGCGCTAAGGGACACATCTGTGCCCACATCCCTGCAACCAGAGCAGCTCCTTTCTGGTCTCTTTTCCACTCAGAATCTGAGTCCAAGAAGTCAAATGACAGGAGATGTCACATTGCATGCAGCATCTCAGAGAAGCCGAGACGTGGGGCAGCCTGATTCTCAATCATCCAAGCTGCTGGAGTGCAGGGAGGGGAGGAGCAGAAGGGGAAGCTGCTGGAGGAGGCAAGGCTGTAGCGCACTGGAGGGAAGGCAGTGCTTGTAAAGACACAGGGCATGGGCCGGCGCTGTGGGTTAAAGCTCTGGCCTGCAGCACTGACATCCCATATGGGCACTGGTTCGAGTCCTGGCTGCTCCACTTCCAATCCAGCTCCCTGCTAATGTGCCTGGGAAAGCAGCAGAAGATGGCTCAAGTGCTTGTGCCCCGGTACCCGCATGCGGCTCGTGGTTTCAGATCAGCTCAGCTCTGGCCATTGCAGCCACTTAGTGGGGAGGGGGTGAACCAGTGGATGAAAAAATATCCTCTCTCTCTCTTTCAAATAAATTAAATAAATCTTTTTTTTTTTTTTTCGGACAGGCAGAGTGGACAGTGAGAGAGAGAGAGACAGAGAGAAAGGTCTTCCTTTTGCAGTTGGTTCACCCTCCAATGGCCGCCGCGGTCGGCGCACCGCGCTGATCCGATGGCAGGAGCCAGGTGCTTATCCTGGTCTCCCATGGGGTGCAGGGCCCAAGCACCTGGGCCATCCTCCACTGCACTCCCTGGCCACAGCAGAGAGCTGGCCTGGAAGAGGGGCAACCGGGACAGAATCCGGCACCCCGACAGGGACTAGAACCCGGTGTGCTGGCGCCTCAAGGCAGAGGATTAGCCCAGTGAGCCCCGGCGCCGGCTAATAAAATAAATCTTAAAAAAAAGACACAGCCACGGGGAGCAGAAATGAGGATGGACATAAGGGTCTGCACCCTTAAAGGCTGGCAGACAGATATGGGCTGACCCGGGGAACCACAAGATCTCTGATCTCTGGGAGATTTTCAGGCACAGGAACCGCACCCTCAGGATCTCTCTAAGCCAGTGCAGCTTGATGCCGGCGAGGTGCCTGAGGGCAGCCAAGCATAGACGCTGGGAGAACCAGCAGGTGCCCTGGAGAAGTCTGGCAGAAAGCAGAGGGCAGGATGTGTCAGGGCCCGGGTCACGGAGGGAAGGCGGGAGAGACACTGCAAAATGCAAACCAACAGGGCCTGGTGGCCAGCTGAATGCAACGAGCAAGAAAAGCAAGCAGTAACAAGCGGCCTCAGTGTTCAACGTCGGAGCTTGAGAGCAGCTCCCCCTCCGCTCAGGGCCATGGCTAAGGCGCTTTCTCCAGCCTCGCATTCCGGTGGGTGCTCCTCTGCCCTCCGTACCCACCTCTGAGGCGGCCAGATTCACAGGCCCGGAGGAGCCTGGGTCCCTGAATGACCGCATGGAGCATCCTGGTAGCGTCGTTGTTTATGGCACCTGACTCATCCCGACACTGAAACAGCAGCCTTGCCACTTAAACGACAGGCACAGTGGGTAGAGGATGAGATAGGACGCAGAGTATTTCACTGAGGAGTGTTTTCTTTTGAGGCAAAGAGGGAACCAGATCTAACAACAAGGGAATGAAGTGGGCAAAGCTTCTAGCTTTTGCATGGCTTAGAAGGAAGCCTTGTCCGCGAAATTATGAGAGTCACTCTGATTGGCTCAACTTGGGTCACGTGCCTATTTGGGACCCAATCAGAAAAGCCGGGCCATGTGCCGGCCCTGGTTGTCGCTGGGCGATTCCCCAGTGAGAAGCCTAGTACTCCTAGAAAGGAAGGGAAATGGACGCAGGGTATGGAGAAGCAGTCTCTTCCGTGTCGGACACGCCTGATTATTTGGACTGCCCAGAGGAGAGGACCTCGTCAGTGGTTTGGAATATGAAATTGAAGCCCAGGTAGAGTAGAACGAGACAGGCAGCCTCACCCGGGACCAGGTAAGAGATCTCCTTCCTCTTCCTGATTTCCCAACTGGAGAAGATTGAAGGCAAACTTAACTCCTTTCGGGAATCCTCTTTGATAATGCGGCTTCGCTGTGTCCCTTCCCTGTCCTTGCTAGGGGCTCTTGGCCAAGTTCAGAAAGTAAGGGACATATTTCAGAGACACAGCGAGGAACACTGACAGACAAGACACAATGTGGAGGGGCCGGTGCTGGGCGTAGAAGGTTAAGCCTTCTCCTGCAGTGCCAGCATCCCATATGGGCACCCGTTCAAGTCCTGGTTGTTCCACTTCTGATCCCTGCTAATGCGCCTGGGACAGCAGCAGAAGATGGCCCAAGTCCTTGGGCCCCTGCACCCAAATGGGAGACCCAGATGAAGCTCCTGGCTCCCAGCTTCAGCCTATTGTGGCCATTTGGGGAGTGAACCAGTGGATGGAAGTCAGTCAATCTCTCTCTCTCTCTCTCTCTCTCTCTCTCTCTTTCTCTCTAAAACTCTGCCTTTCAAACAAATAAATCTTTTTTAAAAAAAAGATAGAATGTGGAGACCCCATCACAAGCCTCACACTCCCATAATCTCTTTTTCAATGCTGGCTTTTAGACTCAGTTGATGAGGGCTGCTGGGCCTGGCTGTGCTGGGCTGGCTGCACGAGGTGCACAGCACATGAAAGTAGCACCCCCAGAGTGGTACAATATCTCAGCCCAGCACTGAGCCATTCTTCTCATATGGGGAAGTCTTCACGTGGACACAGAGAATCTGGCTGGCTATGGTCTGAACCTCACTTCCACAGCTGGCAACATTCAAAAGCCTTCGCATGCCTTTGTAAAATGCCTGATCTTGGAGCTGGCATTGTGCTGCAGCTGCTTACGCTGCCGCTTGCAACCCCAGCATTCCATATGGGAGCACCAGTTCAAGGCCCTGCTTCTCCACTTCCAATCCAGTTTCCGCTAATACATCTGGGAAGGCAGCAGATGATGGCCCAAATACTTGGGCTTCTACCACCCACATGGGAGAACAGGCTGGAGTTCCTGGGTATTGTCTTCAACCTGGCCCACCCTGGCTGTTGTGGACACTTGAGGAGTGAAGCAGCAGGTGGAACATGGAAAATCGATCTCTCTCTGTGTGTGTCTCTCTCTCACTCTTCCTCTCTCTGTTTCACTCCGCCTTTCAACTAATAAAATAAACCCTTTTTTTAAATGCCTGATCTTCCTCCTCATGCTTACTTACTGCAGTGTGCTTACTCCTGATCTCACTTATGTCCTCTTGCCGTTCTCTGCTCCGAGCTCCCTTCCTGCATCTGAGCCTGCCATCTTGGCTCTATCCTCTCTGATGTCTATGAAAATGTTATTTAAGTGACCTCTGAGCGTAGAAACTTTCCTGAACAATTCTAGATTTGTCACCAAGGAGGAAGCATATCACATAGCAGAGACAGGACAGTCATTCCTAAAAATCCCCCTTAGCTCTGCTCCCCGCCCCCGGATCTCTCCTTAGCAGTCAGAGCTGCTGTGCTGACCCTCTGCAGACATCTCCAGATCTTTCCCACTCCATCTCCTTCAATGTCTTCCACCCAGACTCTCTATATCACTATTGTATCATCTTGGTTTATTGCAGCTTGGTAACACATCTCTGGATTAAATTATATAAATTTTTCAACTCTTTTCTTCTTTGTTTTTTTTTGTTTTTGTTTTTGTTTGTTTGTTTGTTTGTTTTGGACAGGCAGAGTAGACAGTGAGAGAGAGAGAGAGAGAGAGAAAGGTCTTCCTTTTGCCATTGGTTCACCCTCCAATGGCCGCCATGTCTGGTGCACCGCACTGATCCGAAGCCAGGAGCCAGGTGCTTCTCCTGGTCTCCCATGCGGGTGCAGGGCCCAAAGACTTGGGCCATCCTCCACTGCACTTCGAGGCCACAGCAGAGAGCTGGACTGGAAGAGGGGCAACCGGAACAGAATCCGACACCCCGACAGGGACTAGAACCCGGAGGATTAGCCTAGTGAGCCGTGGCGCCAGCCATCTTTTCTTCTTTCTAATACACATTTTTTAATCATTGTAAATCCTTTGGATTTCCATATAATTTTTAGAATCAGTTTGTCATTTTCTACCAAAAACCAAAAATAAATAAATAAATAAATAAAGGTCTGGTGCTCACTTCAGTAGCACATATATTAAAACTGAATGATACAGAGAGGATTAGCATGGTCCCTGTGCAAGGATGACACACAAATTCGTGAGGTGTTCCATGTTTTTCTGGTGTTGTGGTACAGTAAGTTAAGCCACTGCTTGAGACACTGGCATCCCATATCTGAGTGCTGGTTCAAGTCCCGCCTGCTCCACTTCCAATCCAGCTCCTTGTTAATGTGCCAGGGAAGGGAGCAGAAGATAGCCCAACTACTTGGTCCCCTACCACCCAGGTGGGAGACCAGGATAGAGTGTCCAGCTCCTGGCTTCAGCCTGGCCTAGCCCTGGCCATTGCAGCCATTTGGGGAGTGAACCAGCGGACAGAAGATCTATGTGTATGTGTGTGTGTGTGTGTGTGTGTCTCCCTCTCTCTTTCACTGTCACTCTGCCTTTCAAATCTTTTTTTAAAATATCTGAGGAGAAATGTTGATCAAGTTTCTAATCCATGAGCACAGACTACACTTACTTTTATATTGGAAAGGCAAGAAGACAGAGATCTTCTATCTGGCAGTTCACTCTCCAAATGCCTGCAAAAGCTGGGGCTGGATCAGGCTGAAACCAGGAGCCGAGAACTCAATTCAAGTGTCCCACATGGGTCGCAGGGACATAAGCACTTGAACCATCACGGCTGCCTCCCAGAGTGTGCATTACCAAGAAGCTGAAAACGAGAAGCAGAACCAGGACTTGAACCTAGACACTGATATAGGACGCAGGTATTCCAAGTGGCATCTTAACCACTGTGGAAAATGCCTACCCCCTCTCTGGTTAGGTCTTTTAAATTTCTGACAATAAGTTTTCTTTTTTAAAAAATTTATTTCCTTGGACAGGGCCAGTGCTGTGTTCAAGTCCCGGCTGCCCTACTTCCAATCCAGCTCCCTGATGATGGCCTGGGAAAGCAGTGGAAGATGGCCCAAGTGCTGGGTCCCTGCACCCATGTGGGAGACCCAGAAGAAGGTCCTGGCTCCTGGTTTGAATCGGTCCAGCTCTGGATGTTTCAGCCATCTGAGAAGCGAACCAATGGATGGAAGAGCACTCTCTCTGATTAAATTTTTGCTAAGTTTACTTTGAAGAGTTTACATTTTTATGTTATTTTGGGTGGTGCTTTTAAAATTGTTATTTCTGATGGTTCATAGCTATCATATAGGAACAATTTATTTTTACATGTCGACCTTGTATCCAGCAGCCTTGCTAAACAGGATGCAAACGTTAGTCACTTTGGAAACACTTTGGCAGTTTCTTACAAATTTCAATGTACACTTCCCATAGGACCCAGCAATTCCACTTTTAGGAAGTGGAAACTTGTCCCCGCTAAGACTGACAAGCAAAAGGTTAACAATAGCTTTGTTCATGATAGCCCAAACAGGAAAAGACCCAAACATCCATCAGCAGGTGACTGGGTAAACAAATTGTGATATATCCTGGCCGGCACCGTGGCTCACTAGGCTAATCCTCCGCCTTGCAGCACCGGCACACCGGGTTCTAGTCCCGGTCGGGGCACCAGATTCTGTCCCGGTTGCCCCTCTTCCAGGCCAGCTCTCTGCTATGGCCCGGGAGTGCAGTGGAAGATGGCCCAGGTCCTGGGCCCTGCACCCTCATGGGAGACCAGGCTAAGTACCTGGCTCTTGGCTTCGGATCAGCGCAGCCATTGGAGGGTGAACCAACGGCAAAAGGAAGAGCTTCCTCTCTGTCTCTCTCTCTCTCACTGTCCACTCTGCCTGTCAAAAAAATAAATAATTAATTAATTAATAAAAAAAACCCAATTGTGATATATCGATACAGACGAATACTACTCAGCAATAAAAAAGCACTCACTCCTGACCCATGCCACACGAGCATGAATCTCTAAATCATTACACTGAGGGGGAAAAGTCACAGAGAGTGGCGAGTATGTGATTCCATTTGCATGCTCCTCTGAGACTACAAAAATAATATATAATGACAGAAAAGTAGGGGCTGGAATTGTGGCATAGTGGGTACACCTACCACCTGCAATGCTGGCATCACATACGGGTGCCAGTTCATGTCCTGGCTGCTCCACTTATGTTCCAGCTCCCTGCTGATGGCCTGGAAAAGCAGTGGAGGATGGCCCAAGTTTTTGGTTCCCTCCACCCACTTGAGAGACCTAGAAGAAACTCCTGGCTCCTGGCTTCAGCCTGGGCCCAGCTCTGACCATTGTGGCCATCTGGGGAGTGAACCAACAGATGGAAGACCTCTCTTCCTGTCTCTCCCTCTCCGTAACTCTAACTTTCAAATAAATAAATATTTTTAAAAAGGAAAGAAAGTTGACCAATGCTTGCCTGGAGCAAATGTTAGGGGGAGGAATGCGTGGGAAGGGGCACAAAGGAACCTTTTGGTGAAATGTAACTGTTCTGTATCTTGATTATGGTGGTGGCAGCTTGGTTGTTTCCATAGTCAAAAGCCACTGAATTGTGTGTCAAAGTAGAAGCATTCACTGCCTGTATATCTTACCTCAATCAAGCTGAAAACTGCCCAGCTTACCTTGTGGAAAACAAGAGGCATGGATGCACCAAAAAGCAACTGAACTACAAAAACACAGCAAATAAGACAGAAGAGAAGTAAGAATTTGGGGCAGGTACTGTGGCACAGTGGGTTAAGCCAATGCCTGTGATGCTAGCATCCCATATAAGCACTGTTCTAGCTGATCTACTTCTTATCCAGCTCCCTGCTAATGTGCCTTAGGGGAAAGCAGCAGAAGATGGCCCAAGTACTTAGGCCCCAGACACCCACAAGGGAGGTCTGGATGGAGTTCCTGGCTCCTGGCTTCAGCCTAGCCTGGCCCTGGCTTTTGTGGTCATTTGGGGAGTGAAGCAGAGGATGCAAGATCCCCACCCCGACCTTAGAGCTCTAACTTTCAAATAAATCAATCTTAAAAAAAAAAAAGCAACTGAACTATAAGAACATAGCAAATAAGGCATAAAATAAGTGAGCTCTCAATCTTCACTGGTTGTTAGCCAATAGACCCACCCAGAGCTGTTCAATAGCATTGTCTGCCCTTCCCAATGCAGCAGCCCCAAGGCACAGTGGCTATTGAGGGCTTTAAATGTGACTGGTACAACTGAGGAACTAAATTGTAAACTTTATTGAATTGCAATCAATGGCATTCCAGTAGCCACAGACAAGTGACATCATGTTAAACAGCACTGGGAGGGGAGGGGATGTATTATTGTCTCCAAGTGCCTAACATCTAATTCAGGCCCAGTAGCTGCTGCTCTGAACAGCTCTCGGGCTTTGTGGTTGTGTAGGGGGTGGAGCAGCAGACTGGAGGGCCCAATCCTAACTCTGCCCCCTGGGGCCTCTTCCATTAAAATGGAGCTGTACTCCCTGCAAACCACTGGAGGTTCAGACCCAAAAATGGAAGTAGGAAGTTGTCAAAACCAGAACCTCACAGCTCTGTGCAAGCAACACAGTCACATCTGGCTCCACCTGTGATTTTAATGAAGGACCAAGAGGAAGAGACCCTATGGCTCCATACCTCAGTTCCAGGCGGCTTTGACATGCTAATGCTACAGTCTCCGTGGAGCACCAAACACAGGCACCACCCACACACGCACATGCATACGCTTGCAAGGGAGCCCTTTATGGCATCGATCGCTGGTCCACAGGAGCTCGCCTTACAACAGAGTAGGGAAGGGGGCGGGGTGGGAGGGTTGGGGTGGGGAGGGGGGCAGTGGCCTTCGAGGACAGAAGAGGTGGTGTCCGCTGGCGGCACAGACAAGGGCCCCCACGGTGACTCACAGAGCAGAACCTGCAGTTGCAGCCTGCTATGCTCCCGCTATCTCCAGGAACAGCTCGCCCCTCCCTCTGGGGCTGTCTTTTGTCTCTGAACGCCCAGGAGACCGACAATGGATTATTATCTGGGCATGCAGGTGTTGTTGAAGAGACCAATTTGTGAACAATGGCCCTTCCCACGTTGTCCAAACAGAAAGATTGCTCCGCAGCTGTTATTTGCAGAACCTGTCACCATTCCTGAGCTGCCGAGCTGCCAGTGCTGGAGCGTGGCTGACAGCGCCATGCAGACCCCGCCCACCCGCCGGCCCCGTCGCGCCACCGCCCGCCACACGCACCAGGCCCTGGTCAAAACCTAGCTCCAGGGAAACCCCCCTTCCCGCTCCATATTCCTGGGGGTGTGAAAACAGAACCAAGTGGAGTTGCTTGGGGAGTCTTCAGGGACAGATCTTCATGTGCACATTATTTTTAAGACACGATCTAGATGTCAGTTGTGGATCTCCTGGCCCTGGAAGATCCGGGGGTCACTTCTCGCCCCCACTGATTCCGCAGTTCAGGAATGCCCAGAGACCAGTAGGAGAGTCCTTCCCTCCCTCCCTACCCCTGCATAGGCATGCCCCTCTCTGTTGTAATGTGCCCACAGCCCCTAAAGTGGAATGCAGCCCTTTCACTTTCACTGGATTGCCAGAGAAATCCGGTGGCTGGAAGCAGTTATTGGAGACCTGCAAACAAAAGAGAAGGCTTCCTCCCAGAGAGGCAAGATCTTGGTAATGCTCCCAGCTCTCCTCCCCACCTCCTTCCTGCCCCTGCCACCTCTCCCATCTCCAAACCATCCCCCAAGCTGCACTAGGCAGTTCCCACCAAGGGTCTTCCTGGCAAGCACAGGGACTCCCTCTCCTACGAGCAAGAAGCACTGTTTTATTCCTGGTACAAAGACCTTCAGTCCCCGCTGGTGTCCTGCCGGCGCCAGAGTGTCTGCTGGGCTGCTGGTTTCTCAAAAAAATTCACTGGCCTCCCAGTCTCGATCCAGGACAAGTCTCACTCACAGGATGGCCAGCTACTGCGGAGGCAGGTTGTCAGGCTAGCTTTCCACCCAGGACTCCCAACCATTGCGGAGACATCCACTGCTGGATTTTGCAGGGCACAGCAGCCGTGCCTGTTGGGCCATGTACACCTAGACTGACAAATAAAGACACGCAGAATTCGAGTGGCCGTCACCTTTGCCAAATCCCCGGCCAGTGCCTGTCTGTGTCTTGTGTGCTCAACTCCAGATCCCAGTTGCAAGCATATCGTATCTTGTAGGTAACGACAATATTAATACC